CATTGTACCAAGAACTGATTATACCCCTGGTGCTCAGCCCAGGGCCTGGGTCCAGGAGGCACTCAGTAAGATTTACTGAATGAATGTGCTGGGAGGAGTGGGAAATAGCTCATGCCAGCTGTCTTAATGGGATTATACATATTATACACAGCTATGGCTCAGATGACTAGAAGCCAGTGCTAGGCATGTTCCCACAGGCAATGCCTGAGCACCCACTTATTAAAGCCACGTTCCTATCAAAAAACAGCACTCCAACCTGCCTGCTGTTTTAAGAATGCAAGGTGGGGTATCACTGTCCACTCACCCACTCTCCCATACAGGTGAACTGCTGCATCTCTGGAAGCCACACAATCACTCACCAGTGGTGTCCATTCTTTTATATTTCAGGAGTAATCCAGACTTGGTCACATTACCACGGTGCAATTTTTAACCCTATCTATCTCTTATTTGCTGTATGATGTAGGGCAGGTCATTTAACCTTACCCATAGCGTCAATGGAGTTTTCAATCTCGATGGGTCCTTTTGGTGTTAAACACTTTTGAGGGCTCTGGAGTGAGCAAATTTCAGTTGCTTGATTTCCTGAGTTTTGTACTTTTGAAGAGACATGACCTAGTCCTTGTCTCAGTGAGTAAAGCCTCAAACTAGATTTGTCAAATAAGCGGGAATTCATAACTAATCAAGGAGGCTTTTGGGGTGGTCGCCACCCTCCCCGTTGCCAGCATAGTCACTTACTCGCCCCACACCTCATCTACCACTAGGATGCTTCATCCCCCTGGGGTGGCTCTCACCCAGAGCCCCCTTCCTTCTCCATAAGCACATGGGAAGCTGGCTGCCACACTCTTCTGAGCCTTCTCCAATTTTCTAAAAAGAGCAAACCAGAAGAAATAGTTTCTCCCACCACCAATTCTCCAAAATTAGGTAGGCCCAACCTGTTTTTCTAGTCACTCATCCAAGATGCCAGTGAGCACCAGAGAAAAGTCAGATGTGGCCAGAGGAGAGAAAATTGAATCAGATGCAGATTGTGCCTCACAATCCTTGCTACCTCAAGACACCTCCCACCCCTACAGTGGGTGCAGAGGGAAGACTCTGATCTCTCTAGCCCTGTCAGGCCCAATCCAGGAGATCCTACCCAGAAAGCAACTGGAACCATACTGTTAGCCAAAGCCAGTGGAGGGTGGCACCCTGAGGCTGATTTGAGCCAGGGCAGCAGAAGAAAGCAATCAGTGTCTTTGGAGTCAGAGGACCCAGCTTCCAGGCAATGTAAGGGCCAGAGTTTCCCATCCATAAATGAGGGCCACGGGCTGGCCCTGTGGCTTGGTGGTTAAGTGCGCGCGCTGCAATGCTGGTGGCCCAGGGTTCGGATCCCGGGTGCGCATCGAGGCACCACTTCTCCGTCCATCCTGAGGCCGAGTCCCACATGCAGCAACTAGAAGGATGTGTAGCTATGACATACAACTATCTACTGGGGCTTTGGGGGGAAAAAATAAAATCTTTAAAAAAAATAAAAAATAAAAATAAAAATAAATGAGGGCCACCCCCTTCACCACACTAGGCTATAGAGAATTAATAAGTGTGGTTTGTAGAACATTTTCTGTTACTTTAGGGGCCAAGGGACAATCAAGTTCTGTTCTCATATCTCCACCTAGCTACATCGTTTTCTTGCAAATCATTTTAATGACCCTCCTTTGGAGGAGGCTGGGCCAAATGATTTCAAAGGTCCCAAATGCTGGTTTACTATGTATGGCATGGATTCTTACATCAGTCTTTCAAATTGGTTTTACAAGTTTAGATGGAACAGGGATACATTTGTTCTCTGTTGGATGAGAAACTGATGCCAAGGGGATTTTGATGAATTCCTCAGCAATGGTTCCAAGAGAGGCTATTTTGAAAAATCAGATGTTCTGCATACAGCCTTAATGTACAAGGCCAGCGCCATCCTGTACGTCTGTTCTTTAGTCACACTTTCTTGGCGCCTTCATTAGGAGTAAGAATGGTTACATATGACAGTTGTAAACTGGAAATAATTTAGAACTCAAAAGATGTAGCACGATTTTCCACCCCATCCTACTTAATTTCTCCCAATTTCTGCATGCCAAAGCAAGACATTCCAATGTGGGGCATCTCCTCGAGCAAAGATAGCACCAAAAATCAAACACACATAGTCTAAACTTAGCCCAGTTTTGTCTGAGATTGCTCTCCGGAGATGAGACTTTTTGACTAGCAACAGAATGTTCACTTTCATGAGTTTGCTTTACTGTATTCTCAACTTGGGCCTCTCCTCAAGCAGGCATACATTCATTGAAGAATGCATTTTGGTACTGTCTAAATAAACAACACAGCATCCCACTTGATTCCTTGTTGGCAGAAGCATCCCTGACAGGGCATGCCCTGTTCTGAGTCCTCTGTCTTTGTCAAAATGCTCTTCATGATGAGTCAGAGAGGGAGGCAGCCAGCTGTGGCAGTCCCCAAGGATCCAGGTCCCTTCTCCAATTCTAGTGCAGACAGCAGGTTGAATAAAACCAATATACAACCCATTTTCTATTTCTAGGTGAGAGGGAAAAAGGCCCTAAGGACAACTGTGTTTGTACAAAGAATTGAGAGTAAACAATATCAGGCACACACAAAAAATCCATTAGTTGGCATTTAAATAATCATTTTTCCCTTGCATAGTTACCCATTCTCTAGTGTTCTGCTGGAGGCTAAGGGCTGAACCCACTGAGGGAAAGCACCTGCTTCCACTGGTGGCACAGCGTGGAGGGTGGGCAGGGCCAACAAGGACGCATCTGACTGCTGCCACCTAGAGCCAGGGCCCAAAGGCTACTCTTGAGCTCAGGGCCTTGATCTTCGAGGAGTGCACGGCCTGTTTTTACCCCTTACTAAATGAGAGGAAAGGAAGAGGACACGCCTGGCCTTACCTTGGCTTTGTCCAACTAGTTCTTGATATAAGACACCAGAAAAGGTAGAGGGAGCCTGCCCCAAGTTTGAGGTTGCCTCCCAGACTTATTGACAAGACATGAAGGAAGCATTTACTCACAAAGCAAAGTGTGTAAATATTTTTCTTAGGAAGAAAAAAAATACTGATAATACATAGAACAATGTGCACATTCAGTCTTGGCACTTTTCCTTCATCCAATTTAACCAATCTCTAAACTGGTGACCTCTGCATATCTGTCAGTCTCTTTTCTGTAGAATAGTCTTCTTCAGAAAGCTACAGTGGATAAGTCATGTGTAAAGATGCATTTCTGGATCATCTTTGGAGGAAAATCTATTCAGCAGCCTCTTTCCCTCGAATCCACCTCCCTCAAAAAAAAAAAAAGCAGACCTGCTTTCTCATCGAGTCACAGAATTTATAAGCAGCTTTGCTCACTTCCAAAAACCAGGCCAAAAGACCACTCTATGGGTTGATGAGGAAAAGGCTAGCTGAGAAAGACTTCAAGTCCCTAAGGAGTTCTTGATTTTCAAAGAAAAATGAAGGGCTGGCTGGGTTTTAACCCTTGGTAGTTAAAAATGATGACCATTCCAATCAAAATATATCACTTCCGAAGATTCCATATTCACATTACTCACACTATAGGGCTCTTCCCTACCTGGCTAGGTGTTCAGGGGACATAGGTACATTCTAATTCTAACTGAAAATGTCAGAAAGAAAAAGCTGTTAAAAACAAAAAGCTTCCTATATCATTTGGGTGTCCCCTTCACTAGCAAATCATGTGTGTGTGTGTGTGTGTATAACTTAAAGGGCTATTTATTCAGACCCTAGAAAACTATAAAATAGGGCACAGGGCACAGACCTCAATGAAGTTCCTCAGTTCTTAAAAAAGAAAAGAGGGATGACAGGGTGCAGAGTTTGACTTGGATGACTTCCATGCCCATTCCAGCTGTAACATTTTATGATTATGATCCAGCCTTCAATTTTTCTTTCCTTCCTTTCCTGCTCAATGAAAAGCCAGGCAGGAAAAAGGAAAGGAATCCCAAGCTGCTGCCAGCTCTGGTAAGAGGTCTGTCTGGTTGGGGAAGAGGTTAGAAGGCTACTAAGTTGAGATGTGGGCCTCCTCTGACCACATCAGTAATCCACAAACTGCCTCATTACTTGGGGCTTATGCCAAAAGCAGCTCCTGAAGATATGTTATTGTCCTGTAATCACTGGAGGAAAAAATTCATTCTCCTCTGGTAAAATTACTTAGGAAATGGAAAGCAGTGTTGCAATCAAATTCACAAATACTGATGGGGGTATCTAAAATATTCAAGGCAGCCTTCGGGGTGCTGGACAGTATCTTGAATGGGACCCTCCAAGATCATCGCTATGAAAGAACGGGCCTTTTATAAGACCATTCACAAACTCTCCAGCCACGCATACATTCAAATACATTCCATTAGACATTGAGCTCCCCAAGAGCAGGGGCTGTCCTTTCCATCTTTGTATCTCCATGACCCAGCACAGGGTTGGCACAGTTCAAAGTTCAGGAAATGCCTGCCAAATGGAACAGAAAGGGTGGACAGCACAGCCTTCGGTCATCAGCTTCACCAGTCAAGCACAGTGGCAGCTTCCCATTTTAGTCAGTCTGTCAGTTTGTAATCATACAGCAATTAATTAAGCAGCTTTACTCTGTTAAGGGCATTTTTCTTTTAGGGAAAATGAACAAACACAGAGAGAAGGCGTTTATCACCAGTGCTTCCTCCAGGCAAAACTTTAAAAATTAAATTTTAAAAAAATAAATGAAGCCACCTACAAAAGGTTTTCCTGGGAGGCCTCAGCCAAGAAGAATTAACCTTAAAAAAAAGAGGCAATTATATGAAAGGGGCCAGGGGCTAGATGCATAATCCCATGATTTGACACCAATCCAATAGGCCCAGATGACTTCTTCCAGCAGATACAATCAATGGGTCATGAACACATTCCCAAAGTGTCTTTCCCACTCTATAGAAAAGGGCCGAGCCCCCCCTTCTCAGGGCACCACATTTCTTGGAATTCCCATCAGAAAGACCTCCATCTTCCAATGTCTCATAACTTCCCCTTTAATAAGAAAAAACACAGAATGCATATTCACAAGGAACAGCGTTGGTAGGACGTGGGAAATTTGTATGGTGAATCAGATTCCAATGATTTGTGAGAAATGTTTGTTTTGTGAAATAGTGTATCTCTTATTGTAGCTCACAAACCCTCCTCCTCATTCTATTTTCCTTGTCTTGCTAAAGAATTCATGTCAACTCCATTTGTTACCAACTTCACAATCAAGGAGAGGGAAAATTTTCAGAAACAAAAAGTGTTCAGGTTTTAGTTATTAAGTATGGGAAGCATCTTAAAATACAGATAATACCTCAGTGGTCTTTTCCTTCTCCAAAGCCAAGCAGATTAAAGATTAAACCCTGACCCTCTTTAACTTAAACTGCTTTGCCTATATCTGAAGGACTACTGCTTAGCTGGAAGTTTGGAAAACAACTGTCAATACCATTCTAGGCACCTCAGTAGGTGCAAGGGGGAAAGTCAGTAAGCTGGATCCAGCGTTTGGAATATTCCCTTAAGAAGAAGTAGCTTTTTACTCGGCACCTGAAGCTAAAATTTGTTGCTACTTCTACGTAATTTCTTAAAATGAAAGTATTACTTTGGGGAAATATTTAAAATATATACCTTTTTCTATTAAAAATATTTATCTTTTTCCCAAAAAGAAAAATCAGTTCCAACTGAAAACTTCTTTTTCAAATTACTGGAGATATAAAAAATGGTGGCAAGTGGAAAAATAAGTGTCTTTGCTACTACCAATGAGACTAGCCTTCCAATAATATTTACTAAGATCAAAAAGGAACTATATGAAATGGCAGTACTGATGTTTTCTCTAAGGGCATTTAGTAAGTCACCCTCCCTGTCCTTTGCAGACCAGTGCCAGCTCTTCTATCTTGGGCACCAACACGCCCTCCAGCAGCCTTTGGAGGGCATATGTTGCTGGTAGGACCTAGAACTGAAGTGGTGTGAATATAAAGTAATGAGACTGATGTATGCTTTTTAAACATACATCTGCATGTGTGCACGCACAGACACATAAAACACAGAATACGTACATTCAGGTGAGTGACACTCCCCACCAAAGTAGTCACTGAAGAAGTTCCACGTATCTCAATGATGACCAAAATGCTTATGACATCTCTGGAACTTCTCTTTGGGAACTGTTTATGAGCTGCACTAGAAAATGGCTCTGACTGCTTTACAGTTGTACCTCACTTATGACTCCAAACCCTCTTGATAACCTACCTTGTCTTCCAGAGGTTTCAAATAGCTTCTGACTAGTTTCAAACTCAAAATTCTATCTCCCATAACCCCAAAAGATTAAAGATTTGCCCAGAGAAGAAGATGCCCAGAGATTTCCTTCTCAGGAAATCTCCTGAGAAGAATCAAAAAGAAAGTGATATAGTAAATCCCTAGTGACCTTGATCAGTGAGTCACTGTTCTGGATCTTAGCTTCTGCTTTAGTAAGAGGAGGAGGTTAGAAGAGATGACCATTAAGGTCCCTTCCAGTTCTAACATTTTAGGAGTCTATGTTTCTAGATGTTTCTAAACTTTGAAGACAGTTCCAGAAATGTTCTCACCAACGGCAACATCATTGGAAAAACTATGCAGTATCCTGCTGGGACCACTCAAGGGGGACAACATACATTGGGATATATAAGTTCTGAAAAGTTTGTTAAAATGCAAGTCACATGACTTCATAGCAACAGCTCATACATGCACAGGGAATGCCAGCCCATCTGAGATTCCCTAAAATCATATCTTAATCCCTATTCTCAATGAGCCCAGATGGGCAGAAGCACCAAGCACCACCAGGGATGCAAAAGACACATGGTGTCAGCTGCTAAGGAAAATAAACCCCAAAGGTCCATGGGACTGAATTTACCAGCTGCATCCAGCTAGATACCTTGTTTCCATAGTATGGAGTTTCACCATTGTTCTTGCCTGACTTCTGGGAAAATTTTTTTGATTTTAGATCAACATTGCAGATAACACTTGGCCATGTGGACAGTAATAATGAAGTCCAATTGTCATTTATCTCATGGGGTGGAACCCTCCAGGAAAACAGAAGGCTATACTGTGGGGGGTGGGGATAACTGCATAGCATATCTTTATACTTCTAGTCACTCTCTATTATCTGCATGTAGATTTTGCATGATCAGTATTCAATGCCCAGCCAGCTTTCCCTAGGTTCCTCTGGCATGCCCTTGGATTGCAGCCCATTATGGCAACCTGTTTGTGTGGAAAATCCATGGGATTTGTCGTTGGGAGACCCAGTGGTCAGTCTGGGCCCTACCACTTAGTAGTTGAGAGAACCTGAACATCTGCATGGCAGTCTCATTATCTAAAAATGGGGCTAATACCACTTACATGTTAGGTCTCCTGGGAAGACCAAATTAAACAATGACTGCACATGTCAATTATATAGCATTAATCAAATGTTATTTTTTAAACAGGGAATCTAAATTAACTTTTGTAGAAGCATAAACTCAACTGATTTCATTAGGTATATTTACTTGTGGTAAGGGTAAGGAGACAGAGGAACATAATCTTTTTGGATCTGCCAAAGAACTACACTGTTTGACTTTTGAAAAAGATGGAACTAATTTTTATCTGCAAGGCTGATTTAAAACACCCTGTTGAAAGAAGTCAGGTCTGTCAGTTTGAGAAGGTATCCCCTCTTTCCTCTACCATTTCTAACTCTAGTGACTGTGCTCCTGAATCTCACTCCAAGTGGGTGCTGCCAGATGTGGCCCAGAAGCCCTCAGGGGTGGGTCACTTGGGGAGTGAGGAGTGCTTCCAGCCTGGGTCACAGGGAGGCAGAGATACAGTTCCCTTGGATATAGACTGCAAAGGCCCTGGAACCCTCAGAACCATATCAGACAGTGTTTTGCCATTAAAAGAAACCCAAAGTGAGAACACTCAGCTCTTCAGGATAAATGATCAAGCCCAAAGACCTCTTAAAAATAGGTAACACTGTTCCTTAGGTACTACTTGGCCCCGGCCATGTTGCTGGACCGTAAGAGATACTGATCCACGCTTCCCTTCCGCCGACTCACAGTCCGCCTCTCGTTGTCAAACATGCGTTGCAACTGCAGAGCCAGCCGTCGGTCCTCTTCCTCTTGCTGCAATTTCTGCTCCATCTCTCGCAGTACCGGATCTGTCGGGGCCAGACCCACCTCACCACTGCTTTGTCGCAGTTTCTTAAGGGAACCATTTTGTTCCAAGTGCTTAGTCTTACAATGCCTCTTCCGGCCCCGACGCAAGGAAGGAAGTGGCTCCTCACCTAGGTTGTCTACCAGAACACCGTTAGGCAGATCAAAATGATTCACTGTCTTCAGCTGTTTCTTTGTTTTGAGGACCCCACCCAAAACACTATTTTTGGGTAGCACTGAATTAACTGTTGAGATTTTCATGGCTGTACTTATACAGGTTTTATCTAACTTGGCATCTGGGGTTGACCCTGACCCTTCAAACTGCTCTCTCTCCAAAGTCCCACTGGCTCCCACTTTGAGTTCTGAAGAACAGCAGGTTTCCAATGAGATCTCAGTGCTCCTTTTACTATTACTGCCCTGTTCTGTTTTTGTTTGGCTAACAGAGGGGAAATAATCAAGGTCAGTGGGGGTGGGCCCAGTATACTCAGAGAGTGCTTGCCCACTGGACAGTCTTGTATTTACAGCCAGAAGTGGCTTCTCCTTGTTAGAATGGATAACCTCAGAGACTAGGAAGTCTTCTCCCGTTTCTGGAGCCAGGGAGGTGAGGGTGGCTTTCGAAAGGGTCTTTTTGATCTGCCGCTCCTGAAAGATCTGTTCCCACTTTTTGAGGATCCGTGGACTGGCCTCATAAGAAGTCTGCTTCTGCAGGCTTCTGTTTAGGTTGCGGGGTGTTGATTTGATGATGAGGGGACTTAGCACGCGGCCATCAGGGAGTCTCTTGGGAGGAGTACATGGTGAGCAGACAATGGGCTTGAAATGGTTTAGTTCTTCGGAGATGCTGTCGTTGCTTTCAGGGCTGATGGAGCGCTCTGGCTTATGCAGGGAAGCCAAGGATGGCAGGCAGCTGAAGGGTAGACGCTTTTCGATGGTGAGGTCAGGGGCCGAGAGGCAACGGTTGTTTTGAGTGGACAAGAGGACACCAATGATGGGGTTGGAGGCTGGGGTCATAGTTGTGACCTGAAAGAGATTAAAAAGATTATACATACATATATAAATATATATATATATATATATATATATATATATATTCTTTTTTCTTCTTCACAATTCCTTCATGATGGTAGAGGGATAAGGAGGGGAATGGGAAGAAATGGGATAAAGGGTGATGTGAGCCTAAGAAATAGGGAAAATCCCTAACCTAGAATGCATACCATTTGCATACCATTGCAGAATGCATACCATTGCAGAAATTCCTACACACTTGAAATAATTAATAAAACTGAAAATGTATAGGAAAAAAACTTCATCTAGAATTTTTAAAAAGGCTCTATTGGCCCTCATTCCACCCATCTGGCTACTAATTCAAACTCTAATTCCTTCACATCTATTTGTAACATTCTCCAACATAACTAGTATGCCTAGGACCCATTCTGCCTCCTCTCATCTGGAATAGTTTCTCTCGTGGCCATGTGCAGCAGGTTATGGGATGGGACTAGAAAGCCCAAAAGCCTGTGTGTGAGGTATACTTTGGCTTTGCCGGTTGGGGCTGCTCTGAGTCTGCTCTTCGTTCTGTCCTGAGCAGTATCACTGCAGCTTTGACTCCTTTCCACCTTGGAATTTAGGTTCCTAAAAAAGAATAAATAAAAGACAAATAGTCAAAAGTAGCCCATATGCTAGCTAAGGAAAAAGAATAACAACTCTTCTGTGCTTTCAAAGCCACCCACTAAGAAAGACAATTCTCTTGGGCGGCTACAATAGAAAATGAGTTAATTTATTAACAGAACGCATTCTAAGAACAAATCCTGTCAAAAGAGAAAGTTCTCCAGAGAAAACATTTGGTTTAAGCCTTTGTTTCCCACTAGACCCTGCATAAACGACACAAGACCAATGGCTATTTTGCTTAAGCTTAGAGAGATGTAGGGATACTTCATCTTCCTTGATAGGGTGAATACAGTGTTAAATTACCTTTACAAACAACAAATTTTTTCCTTTTATGAGGCCCAAACCTCTCCTCAGCAATCTAAATCAGCCATGAAACAAATACTTAAGTACTTATAAAAATGCATAGCAGTACACTAGATTTTTATTTAGGGAGTCAAAATTAAATGTAATCTCTCCCTTGATCCATTAAATTTGAGCTTCCAAGGCCTAAATCCTGGTGATTTAAGAGACTTCAAGAACACATGATTTTTTTATCTTGTGCATGCATTACATTATGACTTCACAACCCAAACCAAAACCCACAGAACCTGTATGATCACATTAATCCCACTGCTTAAGAATTATGCGCACATGACTGTCATCCACTCCACAGACTGTAAGTAAGCAGGGATCCTTGATTGTTTTTTTATTCACCTTTGTTTCCTGCTCTCCAACTTTGGCCTAATATATGTCTGGTGAGAATAATGTTTTTACAAATGTTTGCAACTGATATTTTACCTGTGCTATAATTCTATTCAACAAGCATTTATTATACACTTACTATACGCCAGTCACCGATGAGCACTGTCTGGGCACTGGGAATAAATACAAAGAATGAGATACAATCTAGGTCTTCAAGGAATCAGAGTCCAGTCAGGCAGACAAATAAATAATGTATATATAATACAGTGACATGTTACAACAAAAAAAGTATGCCTAAGAGACAGAATGGCATAAGAGAAGAGTTATTAATTACCTGGGATGGAGTGAGAACAGGGTTGGAAAAGCCTTCCTGCGGCATATGTGTTTTTAAGGATAAATACAAATTTGCCAGAAGTCAAGGTAGGCACATAGCCATACAGATGATCCCAAACAGAAATTATTTCTTTGAATGATTCTATTGAGCTTTGGAATGGAATATATCATATCTACTCTTTTGTAGCAAAAGATTTACTTTTAAAGTTTTACTATGCCAGGATTAGCTCAGAGAAAACTTATAAAGGAGGTAATCAGGTACATTCCCAGGGTGCTGCCTCTCCTCTCCCTACATCTCTAGCGAAGACCTGTCCTACCTACCCGCAATGGCTTCTATTCCAGCATTTCTGTGTTACTCCTCCCATTCAAAACTCTCTCATCCTATGTGTCTCATGGTCACATCACCTTGCAGATGGCTCCAATTTGATGAACTAATCTATTCTATGGTATTCACAGGAGAAAGCCGTGGCCAACCTGCATCACATGTCTGCACTTAACCAAGAAAATTCAACACTGAACCTAAACAAATAATGTGAGAGTTGTACAGATAGTACAACTAGTGGGAGATCTTGGAGCAGGTAGGAAACTTCAACATCATCCTATAAAGGCAGCTGCTTAGAAGTCAGCTTCATTTGTATTTTACCTAGAATAGTATTGAAATTCATTTGCATTCCCAGAACTCACACCAACTGTCACTAGAGTAAGCCACCCAGAAGTAAACTGGCTGGCAGATTAAAATGCTGAGGTGAATAACATATACTTTGGGTCAGGACGAATGGATATAGAGCTGAAAGAGACAGCATTATTATTTCAAACACATGACTTGTTTGGCACGATTCCATTGGAGAAACAAGTAGACTTAAAGGAAAAGATGTTCTGATCAACATAAGAAAGAACTTTCTAACAGTCAGAGCTGTTAACTGATAGCTACCTTGGGAGGTACTGAGCTCCATGTCATTAGAGATAATCAAACTGAGGCTGGACCTATACTTTAAATGTCCAAACATTACATAATTAATATAATTTTTAAAAACAGAGTAGGAGTCCATTTTGTCAGCAGTAACAGAGTCAAATTTAAAGACACTGGCTACATGCCTAAGTTATCAGATGTACAAATGACAACTACCTATTGCTAGGGAGAAACTCTTCACATGCCCCCTAAACTCCATTTTGATGAAAGAAAAGGCCCAGGGAGGAAACTCACACTTGCAGCCCTCAAGTACACAACAAGAATACCCAAAGTAGGTGCCAGCCCGGTGGCGCAAGCAGTTAAGTGCGCGCGCTCCGCTGCAGCGGCCCGTGGTTCGCCGGTTAGGATCTCGGGTGCGCACCAACACACCACTTGTCAAGCCATGCTGTGGAGGCATCCCACGTAAAGTGGAGGAAGATGGGCATGGATGTTAGCCCAGGGCCAGTCTTCCTCAGCCAAAAAAAAAAAAACAGGAGGATTGACAGATGTTAGCTCAGGGCCAATCTTCTTCACACGCACAAAAAAAGAATACCCAAAGTAGTTTCTGACAATCTAAAATCTTTTTGGTAAACCTAAGTATGGCTGAAACTGTCATTGTCTTTCCCATCCACTTGGTTAGCAGCTTTACGGAGCACCAACTCTGTACAAAGCACTAGAGACAGATTGATGAAAAGATAATCTTGACCCACAGGAGCATCCAGTCACTGAAGTCCACCACATCATAGCACAAAAGTGCTATAAGAGAGCAATAACTACACAGCTAAACTCTCCAAGGGTTTTCTTCTAAGAGTTGTATAGTTCTAGCTCTTATATTCAAGTGTCTGATCCAATTTGACTTAATTTTTGTATATGGTGTGAGGTTGGGGTGCAACCTCATTCTTTGGCAAGTGGAAATCCAGGTATCCCAGCACCACATGTGAAGAGACTATTCTTTCTGCCATTGAATGGTCTTGGCCCCCCTTATTGAAAATCAACTGACCAAAGATGTACGGATTTATTTCTGGACTCTCAACTCTATTCCACTGATTAATATATCTACCCTTGTTTCAGATACACAATCTTTTGATTGTTCTAGCTTTGCAGTAAGTTTTGAAATAAGGAAGTGTGAGTTTTCCACCTTTGTTCTTTTTCAAAAATGTTTTGGCTATTTGGGATCCTTTGCAATTCCATATGTGAATTTAGTATCAGCTTGTTCATTTCTGCAAAAAGGGAGGTTGAAATTTACTAGGTATTGCAATGAATCTTGTAAAACAAGTTGCGGAGTTTTGCCATCTTAACAATATTAAGTCTTTTAATCCATGAGCACACATCTTTCCCTTTATTAGTCTTCTTTAATTGCTTTCAACAATGTTTTGTAGTTTTGAGTGTACAAGACTTACACCTCCTTGGTTAAATTTATTGATAACTATTCTATTCCTTTTTGATGCTATTGGAAATGGAATTGCTTTTCTAATTACATTTCCAGATTGTTCATTGCTAGTGTATAGAAATGCAACTGATTTTTGTGTGGTGATCTTGTATCCTGTAACTGCTAAATTCATTTATTAGGTCTAATAGTTTTTTCATGAAGTCTTTAGGATTTCCTATGAATAATATCATGTCATCTGTGAATAGAGATAGTTTTACTTCCTTTGCAATCAGGATGGTTTTTTCTTTTTTTCCAGCTTTACTGAGATATAATTGACATATGATATTATGTAAGTTTAAAGTGTACAATGTGTTGATTTGATACACCTAAATATTGTGAAATCATTATCACAATAGGGATAGTTAACACCTCCATCATCTGACATAATTACCATTTCTTTTTTGTAGTGAGATCATTTAAGATCCACTCTCTTGGCAACTTTCAAGTCTATAATACAGTATTGTTAACTATAATCACCATGCTGTATATTAGATGCCCAGAACTTATTCATCTTATAACTGGAAGTTTGTACCCCTTAACCAACATCTCCCCATTTCCCCTACTCCCTGGAAACCACCATTCTACTCTCCGTTTTTATGAGTTTGGCCTTTTAAGATTCTCCATATAAGGGATATCATACAGTACTTGTCTTTCTCTGACTTATTTCACTTAGCATAATTCCCTCAAGGTCCACCCACATTGTTGCAAATGGCAGGATTTCCTTCTTTCTCATGGCTGAATAATATTCCCCTATACACATATAACACATTTTCTTTATCCATTCATCCATGGATGGACACTTAAGATTGTTTCCACACCTTGGCTATCGCGAATGATTTTGCAGTGAACATGGAAGTGCAGATATCTCTTCAAGATTTCCTTTGGATACATACCCAGAATTGGGATTGCTGGATCATATGGTAGTTCTCTTTTCAATTTTTTGAGGAACCTCCATACTGTTTTTCATAGTGGTTGTATCAGTTTACATTCCCACCAGTAGTGCACAAGTGTTCCCTTTTCGCCACATCCTCGCCAACACCTGTTATCTATCAACTTCTTGAGGACAGCCATTCTAACAGGTGTGAGGTGATATCTCATTGTGGTTTTGATTTGCATTTCCCTGATGGTTAGTGATGTTGAGCATTTTTTTTCTTCTGTTAGCCATTTGTATATCTTCTTTGGAAAAATGTTCAGTTCCTCTGCTGATTTTTTAATTGGATTATTTGTTTTTTTGCTATTGAATTATATGAGTTCCTTATATATTTTGGATATTAATCCCTTATCAGATATATGATTTGCAAATATTTTCTCCCATCGCATAGGTTGCCTTTTCATTTTGTTGTTTCTTTGGCTGTATGGAAACTTTTTAATTTGATGTAGTCTCATTAATTTATTTTTGCTTTTATTGCCTGTGCTTTTAGTGTCATATCCAAAACAATCACTGCCAAGACCAATGTCAAGGAGATTCCCCCTATGTTTTCTTCTAGAAGGTTTATACTTTCAGGTCTTATATTTAAGTCTTTAATCTATTTCAAGTTAATTTTTGTGAGTGGTGTAAACTAGGGGTCCAGT